CTCCCAGCATTAATTAGCAAAAAATGAAAAAAATATGGAAGATTAAGAGTCTTGGGCCAGTGAAACTATGGTTGGACTTGTTGGAAATCGAAGGGACTACTTACCTTCGCCAGGGGTGTCTACCATGTTCAAGGGGAAGCAGGTTTAAAGGGCGTATAAGCAGCGCGGACTTGGTTGAAGGCATTACTGTTCTCATTTTGAAAGATTTAGGTAAAAAAGTAGTGGACAGTCCAAATGACTGGCAGGCGAACACACTACAAAAATCGATATCTTAGGATTAATGACCTGAGCGATTGCTGGGGTAATTTATTATGCCCCCATAGCCCACTACTGAAAGGTGGAAAGGCGTAAAATATTGCTGCTATTTTTAGGAAGGTCAAGACTATCTTACCGCTATTGTCTTGCGACCCCTTAGGGAGATGCCGAAATTGTTATTGTTGTTGTTGCGTCTTTAGCATGTCTACTGGTGCACTGGTAATAATTAATGCAACGAGTTGAGTGTCCTTTGCATTCGCCTTCATAGAGCTTGCTGTACTGGCAGCACTAGTTGTCGGACCCTTGTGTTGGCATTACCCTGTGCCCTTCCTCGTCGTGAGCAGACTTGTTGGATGCGCGTCTGTTGAGGACCGTCGGGCGAGTTGTGACGTCTACTTACCTCGGACTCCTTCATTTCGGGTCGACACAAGTCTCGTTTCGGCCGGGGGCTGGTCAGTATACTGGCCGACTGACTGAACGTCAGATAACCAGGCCTTCAGATGTAGCATTTAGATTGAGTACTTCATCCTATAAATCCCGCAGCCCCTTGTGCAACAACCACCCGTTTCTGCTCTTTTGTCTCTGATGATGGATTCGAGTAGGAATCCGAAACGTCAGGCTAAAAAAGCTCTTGTCCCGGCGATCGTGTCTCCTTCTTCAAGACTACTTCCTGGGACTCGGCTCTTCGCTTCTATTGGCAATGTATTTGGGCGCGATGCGCTCCGATCGGCCCGGCGATGGGAAACCTTCGCCCTTCGAGAGGCCTCTACGTATTCGCAGATCCGGTTTCTGCACAGGTGTCTCGACAATAATGTGTTACCGAAATGTATTTCATACAAGCCACCGGTTAACACGGATTTGGCGAGACGAGCGGTATTTCAGCACGGCAGAAGGATGATCCGAGTGCTCCTCCAAGACTGCCATGCGAGACTTCGTAAGTACCGTCAAAGGATTGACCAAGAAAAGACCAGATGCTGTGAGTTCATGGGTGAAATCGGTACGAATCTGCTCCGGCGGAGGATAGCTGAACAAGCCCGCGAACAGAGCACGATACGCGACGCAGCACTGGAGAACAAATTTCGAAAGCTGCCCAATCCAACGTCGCCCAGAAACGACAAACAGGTGCACAACCTGTCATCAAAGGAGCTGACGAAGGATCAGATGCAGGTTTTACGGCACGAAGCCTCATTTAACACGGCTGACGCCAAACCTGTTAACATGATTGCAGCAGTGGAATCAATCCTTTGTCAGACGGAGGCAACGGAGGAGACTAAGAACCTCATCCGACACCAAGTGTCGTCTCTCCTGATGGCCCACAGGCCGCGGGAAGTGCTTTCCAAGGTTGAACGTGATGCGCTTAGAGAACTCAAGGCCGACAAAGACCTGGTCATCGTGCCAGCGGACAAAGGACGCGCCACAGTTGTA